CACCTGCCATCAGCCAGGGGACCCACTGTCTCATACCCATCGAACCTGACAGGGGAGATACAGGGTATTGGGTATTTTTGCATACAATTGGGGATTTCTTACATCTCCTGAAGCCTGACAAGCAAACCCTTAGAGAGCCATGAGCTCCAGATTGCAATCTCCTGCTTTAGGCATGTGATAATTTACCAGCCAAGGAAATGCTTGAATGACTCATTCCATCAGAAACTATCTTTGAGCCTCTCTTTTGGACACAACCCCATGGAAAGTGGGTGGAGGAGTCTAGAAAGATATTAAGCCTGGTGCTCCCTTCAGGGCTCAGAGTCTAAGTTCAGAGATAAGATGCACATGCCCAGTACATGTAAGATAATGATACAGCATTATCTTCTCTGTGCTTGAGAGACACTGGAGGACAGTGGTTAGAACTTGAAATCAGTGGACACAACAGGATTAAAATGAAATTTTTACCTGTATACTTACTATCCTATCTATTCCTGTCTCTCTTCACTATAAAAAAAAAAAAAAAAAAAAAAAGATTTTTCTATGGAGCTCTTTCTGAGAGTGCCTACGAGTTTTAAAAATCTCTGGGGGAAAGTGGTGCATTTCCTTCTAAAGTTTTATTTTCATTGCCATTAAAATGAAAATAAAGTCACCAGCCAAGAACACAATGTTGACCTTTCAGCCAGCAGCTCTAAATTAAAACCCTGTTTGCAAGAGCATTTACTACTTAAAGTTATGTGACAGCTGGTTTTGGGAAACTCCTTTTCTGCTCCCAAAATGCTCAGCCATCCATAGCTACCAAGAATTCATGTCTGTGTTGCAAAAATGGGATGTAAATATGTGAAAGTTTCTCATTCTTCCAGGAATGACAGTACTGGCTCTTCCTGAAGGTCAGAGTAGAACACGATGGTCCTTACATGGGGCTGGTTAAGAGGTCGCCGTCATATTTGGAAAACCATCTAGACAATTCTTCTGAAGTCATTCTCAGTAGAGAGGGGAGCTGAGAGAGAAAGACAGTTGTGCAAGCAAAGCTGGATGAGCTGAAAACAGGATATTCCTGCCTTTTCAACATTTTACCTTCACTGTTCATTATATTGGGGATTGTTAGCTTCTTCCCCTGAATCAAGGAGAAAGAATTCAAGAGTGAAAGAGAGAGACCGAGGGATTTCAACCAGACTAAAATCCAGGAAATCGGTGAGTTCACTGGGAGACTACGGCCTTTTTCTTTTCTTCTTTTTTGATGTGGTAAAATACACATAACATAAAAGTTACTATCTTAATTTTTTTATTAATCTTCACCTGAGGATATTTTTTTCCATTGGTTTTTAAAAAAAGTGAAAGGGAAGGAGGGGGTGGGGGGGGAGAGAGAAAGAGAGAGAGAGAGAGAGAAAAAGAGAGAGAGAGAGAGAGAGAGAGAAGAGAGACACATCAATTGGTTGTCTCCAGCATGCAACCTGAGGCGGGCCAGGGATTAAACCTGAGACTCTTCGGAGCTCAGGCTGATGCTCCAACAACTGAGCACATCGGCCAGGGCTATCTTAATTATATTTAAGTGTATAGTTCAGTGGTATTGAATGCATCCACAATGTTGTTCAGCTATCACCACCATCCATCCCCATAACTCTTTTTATTTTGTAAAACTGAAACTCTATACCTATTAAATTATAAGTCCCCCTTTTTGTACTCTTTCCCTGGTTCCTGGCAACCACTATTACACTTTCTGTCTCTATGAAGTTGACTCTAAGTACCTCATATAAGTGGAATCATACAGTATTTGTCTTTTTGTGACTGGCTTCTTTCACTTAATATGGCATCTTCAAGTGCCATGTATGTTGTAACATATGTCAAAATCTTCCTTTTTAAGGCTGAAGAATATTCCATTGTATGTATAAACCACTATTTGCTTTTCCATTCATCAGTTGGTGTACACTGGGTTGCTTCCAAGTTTCTGCTATTGTAAATAATGCTGCTATGACATGGGTGTGTACAAACATCTCTCTGAGATCCTGCTTTAATTCTTTGTTCGGCTATACATTCAGAAGTGAATTCCTGGATCATATGTTAATTCTATTTTTAAGTTTTTGAGGAACCTCTGTTCTGTTCTCCCACAGTGGCTGCCCCATTTTACATTTCTACCAGCAGTGAATATGGTTCTTATTTCTCCACATCTGCACCAATACTTGTTATATTGTTTGTTAGTTTGTAATAACCATCCTAATGGCTTGAAGTGGTATCTCATTGTGATTTGACTTGCATTTCCTTAATGATTAGTGATGTTGAGAATCTTTTCTTATACTTAATGGCCATTTGTATGTCTTCTTTGGAGAAATGCCTATTCAAGTACTTTGCCCATTTTTTAATTGAGTTGTTTGTTCTTTGTGTTGAGTTTTAGGAGTTTTCTATATATCCTGGGTATTAATCCCTTATCAGATATATGATTTGCAAATATTTGCTTTTATTCTGCGGGTTTGCTTTTTACTTTGTGGAGAGTGTTTTTTGATGCAAAAATTTAAAAAAATTTTATGGAGTCCAATTGTTACCTGTGCCTTTGGTGTCATAGACAAGAAATCAGTGGCAAATCCAATGTTGTGAAGTTTTGGCCTATGTTTTCTTCTAAGAATATTATTGTTTTAGGTCTTACATTTAGGTCTTAGGCTAAGCCCTCAAAGGCCCCCCATCTGCTTGGGTTTCCCACGTCTCTCAGCAGCTCCCTCAAGCCCACACCAACTCCCCAATCCCTGTCCTTCTCCAAAAGTCCTGGAGTGCTGAGGCAATGCCTTCACATCTGACTACACCACCTGAAGCTGGGCTGGTTCTTAACCAGTGAGGCCACCTGCACTGCAGTGCACACCACGCCTGCTTCAGGTGCAGGTCCAGGGCAGCTCTGTGGCACGGGGACAGCCACAGAAGAGAGCAAGAGAAAGCTGTGAGCTCTGTGGGAGCACAACAAAATCTCTCTTGTCACCAGGCCCAGACATGTGTTACTTGCCTCACCTTTCTGAACAGTTGGGCAGTCAAGTTGGCAGCTGCTGCTTCCCTGCTGACCACCGGGCCCCAAGGTGAGAGTGGGCCCCACAGGGCTGTGCTGCTCTTTCTCAGGCAGGCCATTCCAGGCTCTACTTTGGCAAGTGAGAGTCCCTCAGCATTCACAGCTCCCCTCTGCTCCTCTGGCTGTTCATTCTCTCTCCTTGGAGCCCAGGCTGACTAACCCCTGCAAAGTTCCAAAAGCACAGCACCCTTTCTCTGCTGCTACCACCCAGACGCTTTCACCTTCTGGAGGCTATTTGGTGGGGCTGGTCCCATGGCAAACTTCACTCCTGTAAGTTGGGCAGTTGATGGAAATAACTTCCACGCTTCAGGTTTGTTTGATTTTTTTGACACCATCCTGGCTGTGTGACATGGGAACTCTGCTGGGCTCCAAGTCCTTAGCTTTTACTTATCTACACAGCATTTCTAATTACTGGAGATTAATACGGCCGTCTAGTTCTTACTATAAACAAGTAACAGCATTTCACTTGCCATCATCTGACAGGTAAGCTTCATCTGTGATGGGCCGTGTGTGTGTGTGTGTGTGTGTGTGTGTGTGAGAGAGATGGGCCCTGTGTGTAGATGTGTATGTGGGGGGTGGGCAGAGGGTGGGCATGTCTTTCAGTCTAGAGACAAAGTCCAAGTCAGCAGCTTTGAGGAGACAGCAGGAGACGCCCTTGCCTATGTGGCTGACCAGGAAGGCTTTGTGCATGTCTGTGACATCAAGGACCGTGGCCTGCGGGGACCAGAGCCTCGGCCTCCCAAGAGTAAGCAACAGCTCTTCATGTTAAATACTGTGCTGGGCACAGCCTCACTTTTAGTTTACTATTCTGGTTGGTAAAATTAAAATGTGCCAGTGAGAAGGGGTCTTTTAAACCCTTTAGGAATGGATTTAGAGACAAGTATTTTTATGAAGGTATTCAGTGTTGGCAAGAACACAGGAAAATAGGCAGGCATAGCTCTTGGATAGTTGGCACATTGGTGCATACTATATGAAGGGCAAGCTAACAGCATGATCTAGAGCAAGCATGTCAGACTCACGGCCTGTGGGTCGCACACAGCCCACACAAATATTTTTGTGGCCCAGCCAATATAGCAGCATGTAAGAAATGTTTTAATAAAAATGTTGTAACTTAACTTTTACAATATCCTGTTATACATAATCTATATATAAAAAAGCCTAAGCGACCAATCAACCAGTTGCTATGATGCACACTGGCCACCAGGGGCAGATGCTCAATGCAGGAGCTGCCCTCTGGTGGTCAGTACGCTCCCACAGCCAACCTCCCACGGCCAGCCAACCTCCTCTGGTCCCTCTCCCGGGCTGGCAAACCTCCTGCGGTCCCTCCCTTCATCTCTCCCCACATCTGGCACACCCATCTGGCAGCCAGCATGCCCTGGTCAGCAGACCCTGACCAGCAGCTGGCTGGGCCCCTGGCCCCAGCCAGCAGGCTCCAATCAGAACTGTCCCAATAGGCCCTGATCGCTGGCCAGGCCTAGAGACCCCACCCATGCATGGGTTTTGTGCACTGAGCCTCTAGTTATTAATAACGAACTACAACATTTACTAATGACCAGTTACTATAATAGTGTTGCATTCATTTCTCTTACATGTCTTATGTCCCTTACATGCAGGCGCACCATTTCTCTCCACTAATACTAGCAGCAAATATTTTAGTAGCCAATTGCCACGTCATTAGTCTTGGACTGACTTGTTTGGTGTGTGCAACAGGAAATATTTTGCTTTCGGAGAACAAGAAAAGTAGATTTATTTGCATTATGCTTATTAATTTTTGCAATTATTCAGTGTCTGGTAAGTTAATGTTCAAGAAAAATATTAATTTTATTAAAATGTTCTATTATTTTATGTTAATGATTACTCATTTATTTCAGCCCTTTGTATTCAGCATGTCTCTATTGAAATAAACCTCTGTTTCTATGAAAGTTTAAGCTTTTGTGTTTTTTTGCAGCCCACACAAATTTAAACCTTGTTTATTTGGCTTGTTAGCCTTTGAGTTTTACATGCTTGATCTAGAGCTTCAAACCAGCAAGTCTGCTTCGAAGGATTTGACTGAAAGAAATAATTAAAAATATACAAATATTTAGTTATAAGGTTGTGAATAGACATGCTGTTTATAAAGAGAGAGTACCTAATTAGAGACAGCCTAGATGTCCAACATAAGGGGAATTGATTAACTAAGTGATGGTGAAATGCATTGGAATATCATTGAGTCATTAAATAATGATGCTGTATATGAAAATAATTTCATGGGAAAACTTTTCATGAAAAAGTTAAGTGAAAAAATCAAATCGCAAAACAATGTCTTTGTTAAAACAAAGAAGTATATGGAAGGTTGAAAATCTGGAAAGATATACACCCAGATTTTAATGAACATTCTCTCTGTAGATTACATTATAGATATATTTTATTCATTTTATTTTCAAATCATTCTTCTCTAATTTTTCTGGATATATAATTCTTTGGTAATAACAAAAATATGTTAATAATTTTAAATTCCTTTTATACCACTATGAAAGTGCTCGTTTTTTAGGAAAAAATAAAACAGTACTAAAGAATAAAAAATTAAAAAAAATAGAGAAGTTTTTTCTGTGACCTCCTCTACAACCTAACCTGCCATTTCTGCCCACTAGTAGCAGTGTTCATGAATTTCAATTTCCATCCATAAATTATATATATATATATATATATATATATATATATATATACACACACACACACATACACACACACACACCCTGTCAGGAAGTACATTTAAAAGCTGGCCTTCCTTATGTGAGAAATGCTTACCTGTCTGAATTCAAATAATGGGCTCAGAGACAGAATTATGGCAAATCCTGTAATCAATACTTTTTATTGATTTCAGAGAGGGAGAGAGAGGGAAAGAGAGAAACATCAATGATGAGAGAGAATAATTGATCGGCTGCCTCCTGCACGCTCCACACTGGGGATTGATCCCACAATCTGGGCATGTGCCCTTGACCGAAATCGAACTCAGGACCCTTCAGTCTGCAGGCTGATGCTCTATCCACTGAGCCAAACCAACTAGGATGAAAATGAGACTTAATGTACCCTCGAGAGCAGGTGTCTGCCTGGTTGGCAAATTTTGTAACAGGGATAACTCACTGGCCTTCAGTGGCTTTAATGTGAAAGTACTATTTTATTTTATTTTTCTTTACAAAAATTGCTATTTCTGCAGCCTACGGATCTGATTCTTCAAGGAAAAAGACTTGGGCGGTAGGGGGTTAAAATGTTTTGTTTCCCACATTTTTCTTTCTGAGTAGACTGTAACAACATGAAATCTCAAATATAAGAAGAGATCTTAAAAACACAAACAAACAAAAACCCCTACAGTAAATAAATGAGTATTCTCAAAAGTATGGATGGGGACGTTAGCCTTAGAATCTTGTTTCACACTCACCCAGCACAGAAAAATGACCTCTGGTTCTGAGTGGCATAAAGCCCACACATCAGAGTCAGAGGATTCCCTATGTTCACAAACCAGCGAAGAGCAAACTAAGTCCCCAAAAGATAGGAAGCAAGCAAAGTACATCAATAACTGAAATTACATTACAGACACACAGACAAGGACTTTCACTAGCTAAGAGTTTCTGGTGGCTGACACCCTGAGAGGGAAAGCAGGAAGAGTCCCCAAAATTAAGAATTCTCGGTAGGAGAAACCAAGATGGCGGCATAGGTAAACACCAGAGATTGCTGCCTCTCACAACCACTTCAAAAATACAACTAAAAGACGGAAGGGACATCACCCTGAACCACAGGAAGGCTGGCTGAGGGGAAATTCTACAACTAGAAGGAAAGAGAAAAGCATACCGAGGAGGCGCAGTGCGGAAGTAAAATACTAAGGTGCAGAGGTGCGTGCGGAGCAGGCTGGCGGCTGAGGGCGCGGTTGTCGTTTTCAATTGGGAGGGAGTCTCAGGCTCTGAGCTCCAGTTCCAGGCAGGTCTCTAGGGACCCAGACTCATATGGGAGAAGCGGGACTGTCTGGCAGTGGTCGGAACTCAAGGGCAGCTTTCTCTCCGAGGGGTTTGCAGCGATTACCGGGACATTGAGAAGCAAAGCCTCTGAGGGCAAGACTGAGAGCAGCCATAACTGCTAGCCCCGCCCTGTTGATCCCGTGGGACCCACCCCGCCCAAGCCCTGCAGGGAGGATTTTGCTGGATAGCCTCAGGCAAAGGCTAGATTAGCACCTCCCTAGAGATCCAGGAACCAGGAAGCCCAGAGGTCAGAGTGGGACCATCCAGTTTGCAGCTCTGTGGAAACATAAAGGACACACTCAGGGGGCAGACTCAGTGAGCACCAAAGCCCCATTGAAGCAAGTCTTGCCCCAGAGGGGTGTCTCTACACAGAAGTTCTCCCACTGCAGACACAGCTGATTCCCACAGCCAATTGGCCTGGAGGCCAATTCCTCCCAGTGATACCTACAACAATCAAGGCTTAACTACAACAAGACTGTGCACAAAGCCCACAAGGGGGTGCACCAAGAGTGTCCACCTCAGGTAATTGGGGAGGCTGAACCACTGGGCCCTAGAGGACACTTAGCGCAGAAAGCCACTCTATCAACACAGGGAAGCATAAAAAATGCGGACAAAGAAAAAGGACACAAATGACAAAAATGGAGGAAAGCAAACTACAGGATATAGAGTTCAAAACCACACTTTTAAGGTCTTTCAATAATTTTCTAAAAACTGCCGATAAACTTAATGAGATCTACAAGAAATCTAATGAGACCCTCGATGTTGTGATAAAGAACCAACTAGAAATTAAGCATACACTGACTGAAATAAAGAATATTATACAGACTCCCAATAGCAGACCAGAGGAGCGCAAGAATCAAGTCAAAGATTTGAAATACGAAGAAGCAAAAAAACACCCAACCAGAAAAGCAAAATGAAAAAAGAATCCAAAAATATGAAGATAGTGTAAGGAGCCTCTGGGACAGCTTCAAGCACACCAACATCTGAATTATAGGGGTGCCAGAAGATGAGAGAGAGCAAGATATTGAAAACCTATTTGAAGAAATAATGACAGAAAACTTCCCCATCTGGTGAAAGAAATAGACTTACAAGTCCAGGAAGCGCAGAGAACCCCAAACAAAAGGAATCCAAAGAGGACCACACCAAGACACATCATAATTAAAGTGCCAAGAGCAAAAGACAAAGAGAGAATCTTAAAAGCAGCAAGAGAAAGAAAGTCAGTTACCTACAAGGGAGTACCCATACGAATGTCAGCTGATTTCTCAACAGAAACTTTGCAGGCCAGAAGGGAGTGGCAAGAAATATTCAAAGTGATGAATGCCAAGAACCTACAACCAAGATTACTTTATCCAGCAAAGCTATCATTCAGAATTGTGGGCCAGATAAAGAGCTTCACAGATAAGGAAAAGCTAAAGGAGTTCATCACCATCAAACCAGTATTATATGAAATGCTGAAAGATATCCTTTAAGAAAAGGAAGAAGAATAAAAAGGTAAAGATACAAATTTTGAACAACAAATACACATCTATCAACAAGTGAATCTGAAAATCAAGTGAATAATATGATGAACAGAATGAACTGGTGATTATAATAGAATCAGGGACATAGAAAGGGAGTGGACTGACTATTCTTGGGGGGGGGGGGGTGTGGGGGATGCGGGAAGAGACTGGACAAAAATCGTGCACCTATGGATAAAGACAGTGGGTGGGGAGTGAGGGAGGTGGGTGGGGTGGGAACTGAGTGGAGGGGAGTTATGTGGGAAAAAAAGAGGAACAAATGTAATAATCTGAACAATAAAGATTTAATTTTTTTTAAAAAAAAAGAATTCTCAGTAGCTGCTGGGGCATTCCTGCAATCTCTGCCAGGTGTTCAGTCTCACCACAAATAGCTGCCCCTGCCCCCCAAGTGGGACGTGCCCCATCTTTAAACAAGTTAAACCAAACAACAAAGAGACACAGAACATCAACAGAAACACACTTATATACAACTAGAGGCCCGGTGCACAAAAATTTGTGCACTTGGGGGGGAGGGGGTCCCTCAGCCCGGCCTGTGCCCTCCTGCAGTCTGGGACCCCTAGGGAGATAACGACCTGCTGGCTTAGGCCTACTCCCGGGTGGCAGAGGGCAGGCCCAATCCCTAGGTGCAGCCCCTGGTCGGGCTCAGAGCAGGGCCGATTGGGGAGTTGGGGCACCTTCCCCTGTCATACCCAGAGCCAGGCCATCAGGAGGTTGTGATTCCACCCTCAGTCACGCTCAGGGTAGGGCCGATTGGGGGGTTGGGGCACCATCCCCTGTCACACTCAAGGCAGGGTTGATGGGGAGGTTGCGGCGCCACCCCGTCATGCACAGAGCAGGGCCAATCAGGGGGTTGGGGCATTTCCCCCTGTCACTCACAGAGCAGGGCCCATCAGGGGGTTGGGGCTGTGTACCCTGTCACGCACAGAGCAGGGCCCATCAGGGGGTTGGGGCCCCACCCTCTATCACCCACAGAGCAGGGCCGATCAGGGGGTTGGGGTGCAGCCCTCTGTCATGCACAGAGCAGGGCCCATCAGGGGGTTGGGGTGCCGCCACTCTCACACTCAGGGCAGGGCCGATGGGGAGGTTATGGCTCTACCCCGTCACACGCAGAGCAGGGCCCATGGGGGGGTGGGGGTTGGGGCACCGCACCCTGTCACACACAGAGCAAGGCCGATCAAGGGGTTGGGGCACCACACCGTCACACACAGAGCCGCAGGGAGATCGGGGGTTTGTCACGCTGATCCCGGTGCCGGGAGGCCTCACAGCTCCGCCGTTCCCGGTGCTGGGAGGCATATTACCCTTTTACTATATAGGGTAGAGGCCTGGTGCATGGGTGGGTGCCAGCTGGTTTGCCCTGAAGGGTGTCCTGGATCAGGGTGGGGGTCCCTACTGGGTGCCTGGCCAGCCTGGGTGAGGGGATGATGGCTGTTTGCAGCTGGTCACACACCCTTCAGGGTGGGGGTCCCCACTGGGGTGCCTGGCCAGTCTGGGTGAGGGGCTGAGGGCTGTTTTCAGGCTGGGGGTGACTGAAGCTCCCAACCGCTCCTTTTTTTCTTTTTCTTTTTTTTTTATTCTGGGCCAACTTTAGCTTTGAGGCTTGGCTCCAGCTCTTAGGCCTCCGCTGCTGAAAGTAGGTTTCTGGCCTTTGATTACAATGTTGTGATCCTGCTGGCTGAAGCCTGGAAGGTTTCTGGGGTTTTGTTTAGCTTCTATGTTTGTTACCATAGTTGCTTGCAGCTCAGAGGCCTGCAGCGGCAGGCGGGGAATGTTGGAGTCCTCCGTCACTGAAGCAAGCAAGCCTCATGTTAGTTTCAAGCTGCCTGGCTGCTGGCCACCATCTTGGCTGACAGTTAATTTGCATATTGCCCTGATTAGCCAATGGGAAGGGTAGCGGTCGTACGCCAATTACCATGTTTCTCTTTTATTAGATAGGATATTTACAGGTGTGTACAAACCACAGATAAAAGCCTCACACTGTGCTCCCTGTCTGTCCTGTCACAGACACCACAGAATGCCCTGCATAAAAAATAAACCACCGAAGTAGAGCAATGCCCCCTGTCCCTGGTTGGGGACTGCCCACCCCCCTCCAGAACCTCAGCATTCTCCCCAATGGACTATACAGGGGAATGTCTTCCATAGGCCTAGAATTTTTGTTTCTCATCCTCAGAAAGTCCCCTGTGACTAAGTGCTCAATCCCTCATATTGGAGATTTCTTGAACTCCCCAAGATCTTTATCCCTCTCTGGCTGCTTCCCTCTCAGGAGAACAGAACTGCAGATCAGAACTCCACACACGCTTTCTGTCCAAGACACATCCCAGTTACATATACTCGACCTCCAAGGATACCAATCACCAAGGAAGTACTTAAAGTCCAATTTCCCACCTTGGCCCATGCATGAGATTTGTCTGGTTGCCACGTGTGTACCTGTTTTTCTGTCCTCCTTGAGTCATTTTTGCCATCTTCTGAAGAAAAAGTTGTAGGCCTATTCTATGGAGTCTGCGAAGAGACACAGGTCTCAGGCAAAAAGGCCACCCCAAATCAGGTGGGACTCATGTCCCCTTCAACCAGAGCCACCCTCTCCGTGTACATAGAAGTCCCAGATGCGCCCCCAAATTGTGAGAAATGCTCACCTGTCCAAATTCAAATAATGAGCTTGAAGTCAGAAATATGGCGATAACAAGACTTTTGATACACTCTCGAGAGGGGGTGTCTGCCCAGTTGTACAAGCACACCTGGGGCAGCAAACACAGCCCACTTATCCAGTCCTTCCTCTGGTTCCTCATTGGCTGAGCATCATGGGGTCACCTGTTTCCTCATATGTCACCTAGGTCTTGCTGTCTCCCATTGGGCCATTTTAAAAAAATTGGGCTGAGGCGTTCTCTAGTTGCTTCCACCTCCCCCTGTCTGGTTGAGGCAGGTGCCTGCGGGGTTTTCACCATGATGCTGGCCCACGGGCATAGTTTTTTGTTTCTCTATCCTCTTCCCTCCTCCCTACATTCTGTTAGCCCTGGGGGAATTCAGCAAATTCCATCAAAAGCCGACCATGCTGAAGATGGATCACAGAGGACCATTTCCTACACTGACAAATGAAAGGGAGAAATGACGGGTTTAGTGTCAAAGTCTATAAAAGCCAAAACTGGAGCAAGAGGCTTTGAGGGCCAGGGTAGATGAGCCTTGATTTAGAGCTCAGTGAATTATATGCATTTCCAAGAAATGCTTGCCCTGTAGTAAATGGAAAAGAAGGTCATTTCATGAGCTATTGCTCACTGGTTATGTTACAACTCATAGCAGGACACCTGCTGTGCCAGCAAAAGGATGTCTCTTAGGCTTTTCCTTGGCAGCCTTCTAGAATGCTGATCACATGGCATAACCTTGCCACTGGCCTGCGTACAGCCCCAAGGGACCAGGCAAGCATAGATCAAGGACTCCTCTCTTGTCACATTTATACAGTTGAGCCCTCAAAAGCATTCCCAAGGTTATAAAGAGGGGCCCCGACAGCTCTCAGATGACTCAGATGTGGCCACACAGCAGTGTTGGCCCATTTAGAAATATAATAATTTCTGTGTGCATTTGATATAGAGAAAATAAATGAGTTCATTAATTTTTATAGGCCCACAATTTGGAAAACAAAAGCATAGGGGGAGGTGAAAACAGAGAAACAAGGTGGGGCGGGTGGGGGGGGGGGTGTGCTGACATGCACAAAAGCCTGGGTTGGATGCTGCTCCACAAGGACTGAGAGAATCAGACTGCAGATGTAGGAAGGGTGAGTGAGGGAGGGCAAGGTGGCAGAGAGGGGAGAAAGGAGAAGGGAGGGGGAGGGGGCAAATGAAGGAGAGGGAAGGTACTCAGTTCAACAAAATCAAAACATACAACTTGCCTAATGTTTGCTCTCCAAGAGTGACCTTGATGTTGTGTAAGAACACTACATGTTTCTATGTTTATTATTCTGTCCAATTTGACTATAAGTATCTCTGGAAACAGTCTGTGAATTCCTTTCAAGAACACACACACATACACACACACACAGAAAACAAATGAATAAATTAGCCCTAGGCCACTCTATGGGAATCCAAACTATTACAGAATAAGCAGTGCTGGTTATGAGTCAGAGTCACCTGGGTTCTACTCTCAGGTTCTCCTTAATCAGTTTGTGACTTCCTGCAATCACTTCTTTTGATCTATAAAATGAGGGTGTGATTAGCTGATCTTGAAGTTTTATTCAGCCCTAAAACTATTATGTTTCTTTGAATATTGGTTTTGCAAAATGAAACACGTTGATTGGATTCTTGGTGTCAGTAGCAATTCTTCCAGGATGCCAGCATATCAAACACAAGCACAACAAAAAGAAGTTGACCGAGCCAAAACCGGTTTGGCTCAGTGGATAGAGCGTCGGCCTGCGGACTGAGAGGTCCCAGGTTTGATTCCGGTCAAGGGCATGTACCTGGGTTGCGGGCATATCCCCAGTAGGAGATGTGCAGGAGGCAGCTGATCGATGATTCTCTCTCATCGATGTTTCTAACTCTCTATCTCTCTCCCTTCCTCTCTGTAAAAAATCAATAAAATATATTAAAAAAAAAAAAAAAAAGAAGTTGACCGAATGCAGAAAATCATCCACCTGGAAAACATCCCATGAGTTGGTAGTTGGAAAATGGAGGGAAAATGCTCTTATACCCAACAGATTCAGCTACCCTGGGTCTTATTCTAACATGGAAAATCCATGTAACTGACAAATTATCCTTGTTGCCTGTCAACTGTGTGACCATGGGTTCCAATTCCCATACCTGATTCTTCTTCTTCCAGCCTGGAAAGACCTCTACCCCTCACTCACTTTCCAGAAGACTGCATCCTTGAAGCTGAGGTGGAAGAAGACAAAAATCAATGGTATGCATTTGGCACTGGCAGGTCCACCTAAAAAGGAAAATGTCCACGTCAAAGCAAAGGTCCTCATGACATAAGACAGCCTTTCCTAGACCATCATGTCATCTGCATGAGTCACTTGTCCCTAAGCCCCCGAGCCTGTGAGTATAGTGAAGTCACCACTAAACTTTTACCAGTTAATGTATTATCTGCATGATTCAGGACACTCCAACGAGCCCTATTTTTGTCTGGTCATCCCATGTGGTCAAGGGCCGCTCTCTGAGGTCCTACAATGTACTCCATGGCTGACATTGCTGTTCTCGAGGCTGTTAGAGGCAGGACTGCCTCACTGCTCCTTTCACAGGAGCTCTGTGGAACCACCTGACCTCCTGAGGGTGTGGATAGAATTAGGCCCTGGGGCTCCCAAAGCTGGGAAAACCTGGGGACCATGAAGGTCCTATTACAGAATAAGCAGTGCTGGTTATGAGTCAGAGTCACCTGGGTACTAAGGATAGTAAGAATCCAATCAGCGTGTTTGGTTTTGCAAAATATTCAGAGAAACATATTTTCAGGGCTGAACAAAACTTCAAGATCAGCTAATCACACCCCTCATTTTACAGATCAAAAGAAGTGATTGCAGGAGGTCACAAACTGATTAAGGAGAACCTGAGAGTAGTAAGGATAGTAAAAAGCTAGAAAAATCCCTTGGCAAGTGGAATGGGGAAACTGAGACTGACAGCTGAACAAACTGGCTGAGCAATTTACAGCAGATACAGAAGGTCACCTTCTTAGAGATAACATCCAGGCCTCAGTTGTATTTCAGCTCCGGGCCCAAAAAAGCAGCAAAACCAGATGGGTGACACCAGTTGCAATGACTAATGACCCCTTTCCCTGGTGCCGACCAATTAATAAAGACCACGTCCTGAAAGAGCACACCTGGAAAACTGATGAATATTCTGCTGAAACCCTCCCTTGAACCCTCCCCTAAGGTTCCCACCTGCAAGAGAGAGAGAAAAACCCTTAAGAAAAAAGACCAAGCTTGCGCTCTCCCTCCTGGGAGCACACCTGCACCATTCCCTTCTTTCTCTTCTTCCCCCTCAGGCCTGCATCTCCTAAACTCTAAGGGTACCCACAAGACTTGCAACCAGGGGAGCAATGGACAGTGGCAGCTAGTCCAGGGCCCTAAACCTGTCTCTAAGGCCCCCTTTTCTCTGACTTCCAAGTGAGTTAAAGCAGCCCCACCTAGGCTCTCTCCTGTTGCTTCTTCTATGCTAAGCCCTTTCTTGTTTCACTGTCCCCAGCTTTAATAAATGTACTCTCAAAATCACCAGGTCCCATGTTATGAAATCTGTCCTGCATGAAGTCAAGAACCCACACACTACCACTCAGGGTTAGGCCCCCTGTCTGATAACACTACCTGCCCTTATCTCCCTACACTGGGCCATGCTGGTTCTATAGAAAAGTAGGCAAAGAATAAATGCCTCTCATTCCTTGGTCTAATCACCAAGTTCAGGAGATGAAGTGTGGTGATGGTTGTACAACAGTGTGAATGTATTAAGTACTGGCACTTATAAGTAGTTAAGATGGTAAATTTTATGTTATATGTATCTTACCACAACTAAAAATTAAACAATGAGGAGGTTAAAAATGGCAGCGGAGTAAGTGGAAGCTACACTAACACTCTCTCACAACCAAATTGGAAATATAACTAAAATACAGAAAAACCACCCTGAAAAATCTACTGAAGACTACCTGGAAAGAACCCAGATAACCAAAGATGGAAAGTGGAGACTGCATAGACACTGGTAGGAAGTGAGGAGATGCGAAAGGAGTGGCTGGGCTCCCACAGACAGCACCTGAAGGTCTGGAGGGATATATCAGCTGTGGGGGGTTCCCATTGAGAACTCTGGGGTCTAAACCCCAAGCTGAGTCCCCCAGCCCAGAGCACCAGAACTGATAAAGGTGCCCACATAACACCTGGCTGTGAAAAGCAGCAGGGTTGCTGTTTTCCAGCCAAACATGGCTGGAAATGCAGGCACTCTCTTAAAGGGCCAATGCACAAATTTTCCTGTGCAGCCACTCACCTTGGGTTCCAGCAGAGGATGGGCAGTGTGGACTGGAGTTGTGTGAGGAGAGTCCAGGGTTGGGAACTCCAGGGTTGGAGCTTGGAGGCAGCCACTCTACTTGCCTGTGCTGAGTCCTTCCCTCACACTGTAGAGAACATCTTTCTCCTATAGCCCTTTGCTATCCAGGTGGTTTTGGCCTGGGGGAATGGCAGTTATTGCATCCTTTTGGAAGAACTTCCGCCCCACCCTGTGGTCCATAGCCTAAGGCCAATCAAAGCTGACAACAATCAGGCTGCAGGCAGAGGTGGATCTCTGGATGCTTTGAGTCTTTGCCTGATCTCCTTCTGGGCCTGGTGCACATCTCAGACCCTTTCCAAAGGCATCCAGTCCCAGCAGAGGCATCCACAAGCTTTGGATTTCTGATAGCCCTAAACAGGGTGCTCAGGGCCAATCAGAAACAGCGTCTGACATAGTCCTGCACTAGAGATTGGGAGTCGTAGCACATCTATCTAATACATAGACACAAACCCAAAATGGGGAGGCAAAAAACAACCCCCAAATAAAAGAGCAAGATAATTTTTCAGAAGAGATAAATGAAATGGAGATAAGAAATTTATCTGATATAGAGTTCAGAATAATGATGCTAAGTATGCTCAAGAGCAGGAGAAAATGTATAGTAACTATGAAAAAATAATATCTTTATTTCCAGTCATAAATAAAGAATGACATAGCACTAATAAAGAACACATTGAAAGAGTAGGGGAAGCTGAGCATTGGATCAGTGAATTAGAAGGCAGGGTAGAAAAATCACTCCATCAAAGAATCAAAAAGAAAAAACATTAAAAAACAGAAGGCCTTCTTAAGGGAGCTGTGGAACAACATGAAACGTATAATATTTGCATAATAGAAGCACCAGAATGGGAAGAAAGTGAGTGAGGGGTAGAGAAGTTGTTTGAAGAAATAATGACAGAAAACTTCCCTAACCTGGTAGAGGTAAATTCATACAAGTTCAGGAGGCACATAGAGTCCCAAGCAAGAACCCAAACAGGCCCACAGACACATCATAATTAAAATGACAAAAATTAAAGACAAAGTGAGAATCTTAAAGGCAGCAAGAGAAAAGCAATTTGTTACGTACAAAGAAGCTCCCATCAGGCTGTCACCTTATGTCAATCCCTCTACAATAGCCCAGATCACTCAGCCAAATGGTTCACAGGAGCACCAGAGAGCAGCAACTGCATTAGGCAAAGACTAGCATTGCAATAGTTCTAGTCTTTGCAGGTATTAGTGCAGCAGATGGAGAGATAGAGACTGGACACATTACACTATCTCTGGGCTTCACCTAGCCTCCTGAAGCCACACCCAAGCTCCTGGTGAGGTGATCCATCTCCTTCGCTGAAACTACCCTCGCCCACGAAGAGACTGCCACACAAGCACTGGGGACACCCAGCAGGCATCAAGCTTCAGGGCTCAGTAACCTGGGCAGGGGGAATACCTACATCCTCTGCCTGCTTCCTCTCTGAATGATGGCCCAGGAGCATTCACTTCTGGAAAGCAGCAGGTCAGCTTGTCAGGCCTCCAGAAAGCCAAGACAGGAAGTGAAAACCAACGAACCCCACAGTGGTGAGGAGGGGGATGCAATTAGAGCAAATTCTGCTTACAGTTCAGATTTAATATTCGGAAGGGATAATTATGAAATAAGAGATTGCCTGATTTCTCTTCCAAGTCTGTGAATGGTTCATTAGCTCTTATTTGACATTTGATGATTGAATCTGATTGGCCTTATTGTGGAGTTGGACTTCAAGAAATCCCAAAGACAGAGCAATCAAGTTTCACAATGATCTCCAACTGCAGATTTAAAAACATAAATGGCAGCTGCGCCTGGACCTCAATCCCATGCATGCTGTGGGGAACTTGTATTTCATCCTCACTTAGTGAACCTCACTCTTGCTTGGTACGGCGGGGCCCCTGGCTCAGAATTAGGATTTCCTCGGCAGTTCAGCCTGGGCGCTGCCCACAGAGAACCCACAGACTGAAGAATCACAAAGACGAGCGTGCCCCCATCTCTCGTGGGGCCACTGAGGCACCGGAGAAATGTGGGATGGAGGTCACACGCTGGGTAGGATGCAGGCTAACTGTACAGATGGGTCATTTGTAACAAAAACAGAAATGACAAAGGTGGCCGATGCTTGGTTCCATGATGAGAGAGAGTAGGGCTACAGGAGTTCCCAAGAAGAGAGCAGGAAGGACCATGGACACAGCTGGCTTCCTGGAAGAAGGGACTTGAGCGGGACATGGAGAGGGCAGGGGAGGCATCCTGGGCATGAGATGTGAGAAAAGGGCTGGAGGAGTGCAAGAGCTCCCCCACTTCCTTGCTGGAGGCAGAGAGTGTCTCCTCAGGGTTCCTGCCACACAGCACTGTCCTCGTCTGTCCTTACCAGGTCATGGGCACTTTGAGGGCAGGACTATCTTACCCATTTCTGAGCCCTGGTACCCAGTAAATGTTTGTCGGCCAAATGAAGAACTGCATCTAACCCTGTTACATGCTCTCAGTATGTGTTTACTATTACTGTTCTAATGGTGTACAGGAACTAGCATCTATGGCATTTCTTTGAGAGACCAGGATTCCAGGATTCCAGGAACCTCTGTGGGGTAGTGTTTATGGAAAGTTAGTAAACCTACCCCCCAATGTTCTCTGTAAAAGGAGTGTTCTACAGCCTAGGGCTGTGGGAGGAATCTGTGAGTTTGAACCGAGAGAGCCCGTAGGTGAGGCCCTGGCCCATCATCAGCTCTGGGGGAATGCTGGCTGGCATCCTGTGCTCTTGCTTCATCCTCCTCATCCTCATTTTGCAGCCAAGGTGTGTGTTTTTCAATCCCACAGCTGATAGCACTGTCCCTCAGAGAAGCGAATGATTGGCTCTAGTTTACACAATAGTGGGACCTTGGCTCTGCCTGACTTCAAAGCCACAGCATCCAGACAGGTGC